ATGAGTTGTCTAGTTCATAACTTTGAGGAATCCAAACTACACGGATGTCTTTAGTTTTCAAATCTCTAAAACTGATACTACAGTAATATGGGGGGGGGGGCGGTGACAGAAGGAACAGATCACTCAACACAGATGACAAAGCGCTTTGCAAACCACTGGAGCCAAAAGAAATGCCAGCAGCTGGCAATGGTGACCCTGTTGATGTTCTGCTTTCCTGTCAGTCAATCCATCTTCTGCAATATGAGTATGGCAGTTTTCTGGGCTTCATCGGGCAGCTTTTTTTTTCCTGGAAGTTGAGCATCTTCAGAAGCAGTCCTCATGGGTGTAACAACAGGGATAGCATTTGATCTGCAGGTCCTCTATCCAGCTCCACCCACCCTTACCACTCTGCAAGTTGGCATTGAGGAAATGAAAAAGCATAAGAGAGTTCCAAGCCTCCTAAGCTCTTGCAAATAGTTTTGTCAAGATGCCCCCCATCAGCCTGCCTCCAATGACTCCCTTAGAGCCTGACTGCTGAACATGAAGCAGGAGATAAAATGGCCATGAAAGGGATGATCACAAGTCCAAAGTGTAATTCGGATTTGACCAAGGATATCTTAAAACATGACCAAAGAATGGCATGTGGACTTGGGCACTCTGGAGAAAAGTCTTGTTGTAAGAGCAGAGGGCCCACCCACTTGGACCCTGACGGCTGCATGAGGTCACCGGACATTGCACTTCCTTCCTCAGGTCAGGCTGATGTCTCAATCTGCCTCAAGCCAGCTACTAAAACATTACCACACATACCATACCTGTTTCCTGAGGGTCAAGAGACATGTGCTCATTGCACTAGCTGATAGGCTCTGAAAAAAACCCTTTAAAAATAAAACTAAGTAGGTTTTCAGTAACTTGAAGATTGCCTACTCTTCCTTATACTAACAGTAAGGAATGACAAAGTTTTATGACTAAATGAAACAGCAATCTGTACAATGCTAGATTTTCCAAAATACTGCATATAGCTTCTCAAAGTTGAAAAGGAAATAATGGACTCTTCAGCTCTTGGACTCTTCAGCTCTTGCCAGGCCCTCTGATGGTCTCCCAAAGCCAGAAACATCTAGCTTGGCATAAATCAAGTCACTGGTCTGAAGAGACTGAGGGAAGGAAACCATCTTCTACCCTCTTCAATACTCTCAGCTCAACTCAGAGGCTATACTGTTGTCTGTACACACACAGCTCTCTTCATTCACCTGAGTGGAAAGATAGACCCCTGCCCTCTAGGGTACCAGAACTTTATCAATACCCAGTGGAGAATGTGGATTTTCATGACTTGACCTGAACAAAGCCAAAGCTCCCCAGCCAACTAGGTTGGTTCAACAATGCTCAGGCTTACAAACCTCTGGCATGCTCTTCTTTCTTTAATATAACTCCTACTAATGGAATCCTGGGGGCTGGAGAGATGGTTCAGCGATTAAGAGCACTGGCTGCTCTTGCAGAGGATCCAGAGTCAATTCTCAGCACCTATATGGCAGCTAACAACCATCTGTAGCACCAGTTCCAGGGATTCTGATGCCCTCTTCTGACCTCCACGGGCACTGAATGACACAGGTGCATTTACATACATGCAGGAAATACACTCAAACACACAAAATAAAAATAATACTTTTTTTTTTTTTCAAAAAAAGGAATCCTGCTTCCTCAGAACAATGGGACTAGGGCAAAAAATATCCAAAGGCGCAAAGCTGAAACGCAGGGTGTTCTGACACATCGAGCACCAGAAGCTCTGGAAGTTAGAACATCTGTGAAAAGTAAGTGAATAAATAATTTTTTTAAAGCCTCAGACTTACAGTGCCAGTTAACTTGAGTTCTAAAATATAATATTTTTCAGAGCTGGAAGAATGAAATTTATCCTGCTTTTATCAAAGTAGACAACACTCTCAAGTGAAAATTAATAGCCCTAACCTGAAACTACAAACACTTCTGAAAGAAACTGAAGGAAACACTAACACATTGAAAGATACTTTGTGTTCCTGGATTAGATGACTCAGTATGGCTACAATGTTCACACTACCCAAGGCAACCTACAAACTCCAAGAAATCCTATAAAAGTCTCAATGGCAAGTTTTGCAGAAATGGAAAATTATATCCTAAAATTAGTATATATTCCCAAGGCACTCTGTATATACAACCATTTATTAAAAGAACAAAGTTGAAGGATTCACACTTCATAATTCCAAGGTACACAAAACCACATCTATTTCACAGTAATCAAACATGATATTGGTTAAAGATGGCAGACCAACGGAATGGAGAACTCAGAGGTAAATCTCATGTGTATAGCTGAGTGATCTTAACAGAGATCACTTAAGAAAAAGGATAGTATCTTACCTAGTAACTGAGAAAACTGGAAAGCCATACCCAAAGAAAAAAGAAAAATGTGACCCTTATGCTATACCCCAAAATTAACTCAATATGAAGACCTAAATGTAAGAAAAAAATCCTACAAAATACATAAGGAAAAGCTTAAACTTGGCAATGATTTCTTATGTTCAATGTCAAAAGCATATACAATGGAAGGGGAAAAAATAAAACAAATGAGACTACATGAAACCTAAAAACTTCTATACATCAAAGAAACAATCAGGAGAATGCAAAGGCAACCTACAAATGGAAGAAAGTATCTGCAAAACATGTATTCCCTACAGGGCTGCTATCTAGAATACATAAAGAACCCCAGATCAACAAATTCAAATGATCTGATAAAAACAGGCAAAAGACTTAAAATAAACGTTTCTCCAAAGATGAAAAAAAGGTCAGCCTACATATGAAACGACTGTTCACCATTACTACTGGTCAGTGAAATGAAAATCAAAACAACACTGGGCCATCATCTTACAATGTTAGGTTGGTCACCATTAAAAACAAAACAGAAAGCAAGTAGTGGTGAGGACACAGATGAACTGGAATGTTTGAGCACTGTTGGTGGGACTAAATAAAAGTAATGCAACCACAATAAAAACAGTATGGTGGTTTTTCAAAAACTTAAAAACATAATTACTTTATGATTCAGAAATACTACTCTGAGTTACCAAATGAAGAAACGGGTCTGGAAGAGATATTCATACCGTCATGCTCACAGCAGCACTGTTCCTAACAACCAAGAAATAAAAACAACCCCAAATCCCAGCAGCTAGAGAATGAAAAGACATATTCTAGTCACACTGGAATATTATTCAGCCATATGGAAAGAGATTCTGCACATGAAGAGGTAACATGCTAGCTATTACATGATTCCACTTACATGAGGTATCTCAAGTAGCCTAATTCACAGAAACGGAAGTAGAAAGCTGAGCATAGGGCATGGGGCTGGGGAGAATTACTGTTTAATGCATACAGTTTCAGTAATGTCTGATGAAAAAAGTTCCAGAGTTCATTCAGTTGCACAACTCAACTGAACTGCACATTGAAAATGAGAAGGGGCCAAACTTTGTTCTGTACTTTTTAAAATTTTTTTATTTATTACTTTTATTTTTATGTGCATGAGTGTATTGCCTGCATGTGTGTACGAGCACTCGTGTAATGCAGTACCCGTGGAGGTCAGAAGAAGATGTCAGATCCCCTCGAACTATAGTTACAAACAGTTGTTAGCCACCATATGGGCGCTGGGAATTGGACCTGGGTCCTCTGCAAGAGCAGTCAATGCTCTTAACCGCTAAGCCATCTCTCCAGCCCTTGTTCTATATTTTTATTAAGATAAAAGAAATGACAATCTTAGAAATACCACTGCTGTCACTTTTACAAGTAGCTCACAAAGTTCTAATAAAAATTCTGATAATGAACAATGCACTAGAAATGTAATTTATGCCACTAAATTTTAAAATTCCTCAACAGCCTCCCAAGATTCTTTCTGTTTTGAAAATCAAAAAAGAAAATTCAGAGACAATGGGCAACGCTGACAAAAGTGAAAAATGCTATTCTATTGATTTTCACTTCTGACTTGGCTTTGTCAGTGAAAGTAATTTTGGCTTTTTTTGGAACATGGAAAATGATTTTTGGAGGGCTGTTCACTAAATACATTAGCATGCCTAAAAAAGCCCCATGTCTTGGTGGGGTTCTGGCCTAAGGAATCTTTTTTGGTAATTCCTCTACTCATCAATCAGTTTTTACTGAATTCTTCCTATATTTCAGGAATCACTGTCAGACACTGGGGCAGAAATAAGTAACAAAGTTTGGGACCTTAAAGTTGTGACATTCCCAGAGCATGTCTCTGCTGACTTGGTCATAACCTTCCAGTAAAGGCAGTTACAAGCACAGAAACCATCCATTCAAGATGTTATCCAAAAGTTCTTAGTCAGACATGGGTTAACAGTTTGTCAGAAATCTATCTACACAGAAACATTTTAAATATTTAGGTCCTAGAATGGAATTTCATGGAATTTATGACAAATGGGAAGGATACGAGCAACATAAAATGATTTGTAAATAACATAAAACATAAAAAAATTTAGCTGTAGGGAACTGAAGTAAACAGGCTCTAATAAAACCACTGCCTTGTATTATTATTTGAAGTCTAATGCTAAGACAGTTTGACCAACTGTTTTCCACTGCCAAGAATTGAACCTGAAACCTGAAGCATGCTGGTCGCTCTACAAATGAGCTATATCCCCCAGACTGGCTAACATCTTAACTTGGTAATTAATACCTATTACTTTATCTAAATAAAGATAATTTCAACATTGTGCATAAAATGAAGAGCTGGGTTAAGCAGGTGGACTACCATAAACAGGTGCTATAATGACAGAGCAATGACAACAGATGACAATAACCAGGCTGCCCATGACCACACAAACAGGAAGTAGCAGAACTGTTCTGTGTCTGACATCATCTCCACCACTGCAATGATTTCTTCTTTATTACATGACACCATTTTCCCCACCTTTTTCAAAGGATTTGTGTAAAGGATAAACTATCTCATAAAGCGAGAGAGAAAAGTATTGATTTTCTCACTCATAATAGCAAAATCTGAAGAAGTGAATTAAGACAAAATTCTATCAATGGACTGTTTGAAAGTTTTTGGTAAAAACACAATTCCTATGCTATTTCTAAATTGGTAATAAATATAGATATTTCTGGGATACTTATAAAATCAGAAATTCCCCAAGGCTTTTACCTTTTCTGTCTCAACAGTTAATGGTTAGCCTAATCTTACTGTGTTATTTTAGAAAAGAAATGCTGAATGACACATGTTTCACAGTCTGTGTGTGTAACACAGGACTTCAGTGACTCTGTATGAGTCATGTTTGCAATGCTAATTCTAAGGGGAAATTCCAGCAAAAACAAAAAGAACCTGTATTTCCAGGAAAATATTATCTACTAGCTATGATTCAGCTTCACCATCTTTCTTGCTCAAGAACAGGGATACCATTTAAAAAATAAAGATATACAATTTCTTTTATTAAATTTGGGTTGCTCTTCATCTTAAGGCTAAAATAGTTGATGTAAAGGTTGGTTTTACCAATAAAATAATCTAGTCCAATTATATCAATCAGATATTTCACAATGATCAAGTAAGAGTATCATTACAATTATAGAGACTCAATATCACAGGTGTCCACTATATCACAAACAATCCAGATGTTCAATATATTCTGGAGAATGAAGAGAAACCTGATCTGGGGGATATTAAGATTTAATATCAAACTATAATAATAATTGCTAAAAACGTAATTGTAGAATTTATATAGTATCAAATTTGGACAAAAAATAGAAACATACGAAAACACAAAATATGATTTAAAGGAAACTGTTGGAGCTGGGATGCAGTTCACTTGGTGGGGTTCAATCCCCAGCACCCCATAAAATGAGGGGTAGTGACACAGGCTTGCATTCTAGCACTTTATTAGTAGAGAAAGGAAGATCGAAGTTGAGGACCATTCTCAGTTACAAAGCCAGTTTGAGGTCAATCTGGACTACATGAAACTGTCTAATAAAAGAAAAAAGATTGATAACTGATCTGTTCTGAGGATAAGAAAACATGCTGGGAACAATATATCAGTGTCTTCTGGGGATATACTTATAATAGGTACACAAATGATAGCAATTACCTAGAACACATAATGAGTGTCTACAAATATACACTAAGAAAAAAGCATATTCATAAAAAGAACAATAAGAGTGTGAATAGGCAATTCAAAGAGCCATCACTAGGAATAGCTAATAAACAGACATTATTTAGGTAAGAAAAAGCTATCAAAGTACACAACTGAGAAGAAAGGAAGGAAAATTTCAAGACAGAAAAGCAGGCTTATATGGCTCAGTGGTATAGCATTTGCCTAGCATGCACAAGACCATAGGGCTGACTCACAGTATAGACACCCCCCACCCATGGAGAACAGTATTAAACCAATAGAATTATCATTTTCTCTCTCTCCCCACCTCCCCATATATGTCTATGTACGTGTGTATGTGCCTCTCTTCTGCTAATTCTCTGCAACACTAGAAACTAATAGTGAACTAATACTGCTGTGTGAGCCCATCACTGGAGAGGACATGGGGTTCTCTTCCTGTCTTCGTATTCCTTCCTGTGAGTGTAGGCACATTTCTCTGCCTCTCTCTAGGGAACTCTTTGGTGACCTTATGTACCAATCAAGAATCCAGTAAGCACATTGAGAGGCTGGTGCCAAACTGCCATCAAAGTTCCTCTGATTCCTCACTAATCGTTCTCTGTGCTATAAAAAGATGTGATGGGAGAATGAGGTCCAAGCCAGCTCTCCCAACCAACTGGCTGACCACAAAGTCTCCACTGGGCCTCCCTAGATTTCCAACTCTTCATCCTTGAAGAGGAGGAGTATGTAGGGAATAGTTATGAAGGTCTAATTCTAGGTGCAGATAGAAAAAAAAGTCAGCATGGGCTGGGGCTATAGCTCAGTGGTAGAACACTTGTCTAGCATGCAGAAGATCCAATATTGAGGTTCAATTCCTAGTACTGGGAGGAGAGAAGAAAAAAAAGTCAGCAAAACACAAGAGGGATTTGGACACCTCCACATTTCATCTACAAAGAGCTACAAAAGCTGAAGGGGTAAAGTCATGCCATCCTAGCTGACAGTGATTTCATGCTGATTAAGTGCTTGAACTTCACAAAAAGGCCCCCACTCACTCTGTAGTCTCTATTCACATCACTGAGCTGCCAATAATTATCAGGGAGGCCCATTCGCTTGTACTCTTCACTAAGATCAATCAGTATCCAGCCTTGTTCTCTTTCTTCTTTATCCAGCTTGGGATTGAAGGAAAAGCAGTATAACTCCTCATATTTCACTGCAAGAAAAAGGAGAATAAAGCCAAATCAAGCTAAGTCAAAGCCAAAACCAAACTGCCCCAAAAACATTCTGTCCCAGCTGGAGTTCACCACCCCTGTCTCCCACCTCTGGCACACTGACAAGGGCATCCCACTGCTGTGGACAGAGTGACATAAACTCCTCCCAACGACAAGAAGGCTTGGGGACATCTGGATGCAACTCTGTAAGAGCTTCCTTCCACGTGGGAAATAGGGCATTTTCTTTGTTTGGAAGGGTTTTTTTTTTTTTTTTTTTTTTCATTGCTTTAAAAGCGAACATATTCTCCAAACCACATAAAATATGGGACATAAAAAATTAAGAATGTATGTATTCATTAGATGTCAATGAAGTCTGGATTTGGGGTGGAGAATGGAGGTATTTTCATGTTCCCCTGAACATTAAGAGTATTAAGAATACAGAAACAAAACAGTTTTTATGAGTTATGAGTGATGTTACACATTTCCTTTGAAAACATTTGTATTTTCAACAACTACATATACTATAACTGCACTGCTCTTAAGATATTTATGAGGAGCCATTAATAAAATCAATCATTAATGCACAGCAGCCTGGGCAAGGAGAACAAACTGAGGGATGCTTTGTGAAAGCCTTCCCTCACCATTTTCAGGGCACTTCTGTCCTACATCATCTTCTATGCTTGTGAGGTCAAGCCAAGAACCCCACTGATTCCCTCTTACTAATAAAATCTAGCACTTGGTTTTCTTTCTCTTGTTTTTGCCATGTAAGGGAAATATTAAGACAAGTACTGCCCAACAGAAATACAATGTGAGCCACAATGCCATTAAAACGTCCCTGTAGCCACATTTAAAAAGTCGAAGGAGCTGGGCGTGGTGGTGCATGCCTTTAATCCCAGCACTCAGGAGGCAGAGGCAGATGGATCTCTGTGAGTTCAAGGCCAGCCTGGTCTACATAGTGAATTCCAGGACAGCTGGGGCTACAGGGAGACCCTGTCTCAAAAAAAAAAAAAAAAGTAAAAGGAGGCTGGAAAGATGACTCAGCAGTTAAGAGCACTGGCTGCTCTTGCAGAGGACCCGAGTTCGGTTCCTAGCACCCACGTGGCAGCTAACAATCATCCATAATTCACGTGGCAGCTAACAATCATCCATAATTCCAGTTCCAGGGGATCTGACACCCTCTTCTGACCTCCACGAGTACTGCACGACATAAGTACACTTACATGCATGTAGGCAAAACACTACCACACATAAAAATAAATAAGTAAATTTCTTAAGTAAAAGGAAACAATAAAATTAATTTAGTAATATTTTAATGCAGCATATCTAAAATACACTTTTAATATGCATACAGTATAAAATGCTAATTTTCACATTTTGCTTTGTGCTGTCTTTGAACTCTATGTGTAGTGTATACTTACAGACACCTCTCAGTTCAGTCAGCCACATGTAGAAGTGCTGACAGCCGACTACCGCCAGAGGCTACCATAACGGAAGCACAAGACTGAAGGACTCCTGAGGATAACAAACCCTTGCCTTGTTCTAGATTCTGTTGTAATAAATCCATCAATCAAGTAGGAACACACCACGTTGATCCTTATTTCACAGATGAGGAAAGCGAGGCAAAGCTGGCTGAGGTACAGCGCTCAAGGGGAGCCACACAGCTGGTAAAGGGGGAGTCTAACCTGCAGAAACAAGATAAGCCGGCTGCAGGCTGCTGGCTGACCCTCTCCAGGGCAGGTTTCTGTTCTTCCCTTACTTCCCTTGCTCCATCCTCATTATCTTCCTGTCTCTTTCCAATGTGTGTCTATCTCCTCTTTGGTTTCCCACATCCTCCCATCCATTTATTACTTTAGTGATAGCACTCTGTGAAGACAATTTATGTTCCTACACATGTGATTGGAGGCCCTGTAAAGGATCTGGCCACCAGAAGGAGTCAACCAAAACTCAATTTTAAGTTTGTTTTGAGTGCTATTGATATGATTCTTCCACATGAAATAAAGCAGACTAGAGTCATATTTTGAAGAAAGATAAGGGTATTTCAAGTACCAGATTTTTTTTAGTAGGCGTGTAATAAGAAGGGACAAGACTAGAAAAATTATGTCCTACTTGAGTCTCTCCTGACGTCACCTTTCTAAACTTTGAAACAAAACCCTGGTTATTTGATCAGATAAGAGTAACACACAGTACAGGTGCCCAGAGAGCAGATTCTGTCATTAAAAACAGTTTGTTGTCATCTGAACTAATGGAGGACAGCACAGAAAGCTGAGATCCTGTTCTGGGAACAGCTGTTTCAACACTGACACATCTTTTCCATTCCTAAGTACCATTTTCATGACTCAGACTTCTGCTAGCATGATGCTAACCGCAAATGCAATTTATTTACAATGCCAAAAGCATCTCTTGAGAAAACTTCAGTTCCCTTGGTGAAAGAAGAGCTGATGACTATGGGATGATAATGGAAGTTAAGTCTCCTTTTGAAAATATTTATAAATAGGTTTAAAGGTACGAAAATAAAGCATTCCGTGACCATGGACAGTTTACTGTGTGCTGGCTGATGCTGAGCATTGAAACATGCATAAACTGAAGAGTGGTAATTTATAATTGACAGTAAGATAATTCTTGCACAGATAGACATTAGAATACGTTGACAGTGAAATCACAAAATGTTTCTTTGGGATATTTTTAAGGAAAAGGGTAATAAACAAATCCTCAGGCCCAATTTTAAGTAAAAATTCTTTATGAGGGCAAGAAAGCCTCTATCTTTCATTACCTAAACCTTTGTCTTGCTTATATGGGTGAGCTTCTCACTCAGAGGCAAGCCCCACTGCATCCTGGGGACTGTATACTTTGAGAAAATTTTTAAAAGTACCCTAGCACAGATGTAAATCCTATTGAGTATTTCCCATTCTATATTCAGTTTCTCCTAGTCCTGATGTCTATAAACTATACCAGGGAGACAAGAGTTTTTTAAAAAATTAGGACTAAAGAAATATTTAATATTTTGGTTGTATTTTTAATTTGTATAATTTTTTATTTTTTTAATTTGTATAATGACAAATGGCAGGTGTTCTGAGGGACAACAGAATAGCTTCTACCTAGCTGGAGGTTTGTCTTCTTACTATGATGTCTTCCTACTTCCCCCACTCCCACCCCTGAAGGAGAAGAACATGGAAGCATGTTCTTTTCTACTTCTGTGAGTTCAGCTGTTCTGGGTTCTACATCCAAGTGAGACTATGCAGTGTCTGTCTCCCTGCATTTGGCTTATTTTACTTAGCATGAGGTTGTCCATTTGCATCCCTATTTTCAAAATGAAAGAATTTCTGCCTTTTAAAAAGCTCAGTAGTATTCCATTGCGTACATATAGCACATTTCCTTCACCCAGTCAGCTGCTGAGGGATACAGACTGATAACTGCTACTGTGGGTAGTGCTACAGAGAACAGAGAAGGGCAGATATCTCTTCAACATAATGACTTCAGGCCCTTCAGATAAACAGTAGTGGGGCTCCTGGATCGGGTGGTAGCTCTATCTTTAGTTTTTTGAGAAGTGTCTATACTGTTTTCGATGACTGAACTTATTTACACTCCTCCAAACAGCACAAGAGTTGTCTTTTCTTCAGTCTTTCTAGTATGAAAGGATCTTTTGTCTTCTTCACATCAGCTATCCTAAGAAGTATGAGGTGCTATCTTAAGAGGGTTTGAATTTTTATCTCCCTAATAACTGATTCTCAGCATTTTCTCACATATTTATTAGCCATCCATGCCTTCTTTCCAGAGTGCCTACTTAGGGAATTATGTGTTTTCTTCCCATAGAACCAAAGCACCTTTTATATATTCTAGATATCAATCTCTTATCAGATTTATGACTTGCAAATGTTTTCTGATACATAAGCAGTCTCCCCTTTCATTAGCAGTTTCCTTTTGTTGCAAAAGAGGCTTTTATCATACAGAAATCTTTCATTTTGAACAGAGAAAAAAATTTTTTGCTTGCTCACACAAGGTCATCTCCCTCAGCTGATTCACCACCTCTGAAAACAGACAAGATAAATATTCCCTGGACATTTTACATCTCCAGATCTGAGTCATCACATCCAATAAAGCTTCCTTTGCTGCAGTGATCACCAGTGATCAGCAGGTCTCAACAGAAGAGGCTCCAGAGCCTCATTCTAAGGTGCCCTACTAGGAGGGCACTGGACCTCATCCTATAAAAAGCAAAAACAAAATATAACAACAACGAAAAAACCCTGCCTTTAAACTATAAATGTAAACTAAAAGCACACCTTTGACTTTAGGAATTGGGTTTGTTTTGGGGGTTTGTGGGTTTTTTGTTTTCTTGACACAGGGTCTCCCTGTAGCCCCAGCTGGACTTGAACTCATTATGTAGACCAGACCAGCCGCAATCTCACAGAGAGCCCCCTGCCTCTGGTCCCAAGTGCTGTGATTAAAGGCATGCACCACCACACCCTGCAAGAATTGTTTTTTAAAGAAGAGAAAGTTACATACAAACCATTTTGGTGCCTTATGGCATATTACCTACTGAGATCATGTATTTGTTTAGCAAAAACAAACCTGAATGTTTTTCTGTGTAGAAAAGCAAAATAACAATTCCTAAAACATTACATGAAATTAAATATGACTATTTCTAGGAGAGCATAATTGGTGTTTGAGTCAAAAGCCTAAGCTCAAGTCTGCACAGAGGTGCGTGCTTTCACTTTCGTTAGCACTGCTGTTCACTGCATCTCCTCAGCCCAGAAAGCTAGGTCACTGCAATCTAGTCCAACCTCTTGCTCTCACCAACACCTTCTCTCTCTAACATTATTTCCTGCTTCCCAAAGGAAAAGCAAATCATCCAGTGTCAACTCTCAACTTGGAACCTATGACTACACCCAAGCTTTGTTCCTCCCCCCCTCTTCCCTCACCTGGCCAAAGTAGAGAAAACCGGGTTAAAAAGAAAACAGGGAAGAAGGAAAACACCTTGTCTTCCAGTTATCAGTAGCAAAAGTTAAAACAGTGTATTTAGGAAAAAATATGGAGGAACTGTCTTTCATTGCACAGTAACTGAGAAATACAAAGGTAATTTAATGTTAAAATGAGAAGTACTGCTAAAAGTCAAAGAGAAAAAGAGAGATGAGAATTATCAGAGCGTAGAGGAGAAAGGGAGAGGAAAGTTACAGCCATTAGCAGAAAGACATGGAACTGCAGGGTATTTAGTCCCGGAAAGAAGCACTGAAAGCCAATCGCCATGGATATTTTTGAATCCCGCCAACTTAAAGTAGAGGTAGTGGAAAGCTGATTAGAGAGGAGCGAGAAGATGGCACAGCTACCATTGAGATTGAGCACATCTAAATTAAAAAATGAGGGTGGCTCACCTTCACTGTGCATTTTAAACAAGTAAAAGTCTGAATTACGCATTAAGAATATTGAAACTAATGTCATAGGAAAGGACTACTAGATTCCAATGATAACATCAATAAAAAAAGAAATTACCAGCCTGGGTAATGGCTCAGTCAGCAAGTGGCCTTGCAAGCTTGAGAACCTGGGTTCAATCATAAGCACCTATACTTTAAAAAAATAAGGGGGGGGGCAGGCATGGTGGCACAGGCTTGTAATCCAATCCCATCCATCACTGGGGAGGTAGGAACAGGCGGATCCCCAGAGCTCCCTGGCCTGCCATCTTAGCCTACAGGAGGAGATCCAAGCCAATGAGAGCCCCTCTCTCAAAAAACAAGATGGACAGCTCCTGATGAACAACACCCGAAGATCTCTTCCAATCTCCATATGCATGTGCATACATGTGCAACTACACACATGAACATACACAAAATGAAGTTGCACTGAAAAATTGCTCAAGTATCAATGATATAGAGACTATAAAAGATTCAAATCAAGCAAATGAAACAAGCTCAATAATGAGTTTTTTGAAAGTCAATAGTAAATACGTAGAGTTGTAGATGTAGCTCAGTGGTACAGTATGTGCATCATGTGTTTGGCCACAGGTTCAATTCCCACCACCCCCAAAAAAAACCATGCAGAAGAATTGGGAATTAAGATGAACTAAAAAGCTATAATTTGGTAAAAATGGGAAAATAAACAAAAGAAATTATTTAAATAACGAAGGGCCTATGAACACTAAAGAGGGAAAGATAATTGATATAAAAATAAACAGCTGGAGGCAAGTTAGAGGGTGGGGTAGAGACAACATGGGAAACAGAAGCTCCCTGAGAAATAGGAGTCGCAATCAGAACACTCCAAATCCTCATTAGCACAGCGGAGCCACAGGTTAATGTAATTCTCCATTGGGCCATAACCTACTGGGATCTTTTACAGTCTGTAAGAAAATGCTTATCCATCTTTATTTATATAAAATGAAAATCAATAAAATCTCTTCCAATTTTTAAGTATTTTCAATTATCCTCAACCCAGAAATCCCAAGAATCTCTAGAGTTTCAAAAATATCTTTTTCAGAGGTCTTGAATTAAATGAATTTCCAGACATTTCGTCTTTTGTTTGTTTTGTTTTAAAATATGGTACTCTGCAATTATCTATGTCCTTAAGGGATGAATATATGATTCATGTTGGTGATTAGAATAACCAGAGAGCTATACTGCACCGCCTGTAATCGAATTCAAAGTGTGTCTCCTTCAACCAACTAAATCTCTCCCTTCCCCCTTCTTCTCTTACCTTCTCTCCCTCCCTTTTGAACTCTGATATACCTACAGGGGGAGCAAAGATGTATTTTGTCAACTATCCTCTGATGATTCTTTTAAACCATGCTTGCCTCCAGTGGAGTTGCTGCCTTGTACCTGACCCACTCCAGCTCTACCCATCTCTTCCCAGATTCAAACTATAGCCTGTAAGAAGTCCAAACTTCAGCACTGTTTCTAACAATATGCTGTGGGACTGCCCAGGCTCCATCTCATCTTCCCACACTTATTAAAACTTTGTGTTATATAACCTGGCATGTCTAATGCTGGTATTTCAAAACACTAGTGGCTCTTTTTAAATCCTCTCAGGTGATGGCTCTAATTCAATTAATTACTATGTTTTCCTTTTATGGAAAAGGCAGTTAGTTGGATCTGTGGCTCCCCCTAATAGCTAACACACAAAATATCACCTTTGAAGAAAAGGCAATTTTAATGAAAAGCAGAGGTACCCTGTGGTCTTCTTCCCTTTGCCCTTGTACTTGCTGCCTTCTCCCTGTGGTCCACTCTTCCAGTTGTTCAGCCCTTTCCCAGATCTTAGGCTATTCCTAAATCCCATTAATCCGGTCAGAGCACTTTTATTACCCTGCACACCCATTAATCAGTGACACAGAAATTGCTGGCACACAACTCCCCTCACAATCTCTGCTGCGTGCAACCTAATGTACATCTTCCCAGAACTGCTGTTCCAATTATAGAGCACCCTCCAAAAAGTTCAACTGCTTTTCTGGCTTATTCTGAAGTTAATCTCAACACATTTGGAAGGGGTAAAAAAGTCTCAACCAACTTCCTTTAAAGGGGAACAAAGTCAAAATTATCTTACTGTGACAACTCCCAGGCATCATTTCCATTAAATAACATTGGGTTTTAGCTACCTACAAATGAAATGGTCATATTGTAAGAAATTCAAGACCTAGCCCAATGCCTTGAAAAGGTCACAAACTTCTCATCTGAATCAAAATGCATTTGGCAAAGGAACTATAAACATGTATCCTATCTCCCTTATTGATGGCTTCCATGTGGCACTGAAGTTTTATCTAGATGGTCTTTTTTACTATAGTCTCCCAAGAAACCTAAAAGAATATTTTCTTTAGGCAAGTTCATACTAACTTTGCAGAGAGACAGAAATACTTTTGTAGAGGTAGTGATCTTTCAGTCTGAAGACCCAAACAGGTGGGCTAGAACAAAACAGTTAAATGGGGAGGGGGGGTGGGGAATGGGGTGTGTGTGTGGGTGTGTGTGTGGGGGGGGTTATATATACATAAAACATGTATAATCATTAAACATTCTTTCTACCACACTTACAGAGGTTTCGTTCAAGAAAAATCAACACACTCACTCCCTAAATATTCCCTGATGCTAACAAAAGCCCAGGTACTTATACTAGTAATTAAATCGAACATAAATTACTATCAAAACCCTATGAACAAAAACAACCACCATGGTGGTTCATGCCTATAATCCTGTACTGGGAGACAATAGCAGGCAGATTTCTGTGAGATTTAGGCCAGCCAGGGCTATATAGTAAGACCCTGCTTCAAAATAAAAAACAGAAACAAAAAACAAAAAACAAACTTATGAAGGCCAAATCTTTAAAGTCCTGGGAGGGGAAGAATACACTAGAAGTTTTGAGTAATAATGTTTTCCATACTAAATAATTTTAAGTTCTGTCCTAAGCCTCATACAAGGTGACTCAATCACCAAAGAGCATAAAACTTTTAAGTGACTTAAGGCCCAAAGAAAAGCACATTACAAACTCCCATAAAGAAAATGTGAATAGTAAGATTAATAAGAGGCCTATCTAGTAAATATCTCAAGGGAGATCCCAAATGACGAGGATCTATGTAGCAGGTGATCACTCAGACTTCTTAGCCTGGAGTGCAAAGACAGCAACCATTCCTAAAAAAAAACTGCCATTCCTAAGCACAATCCAAATTCTTAGACAAGATTTACACCTTTCATCAGAGCAGACCCACATTAAATGTCACTCTCCTTGCCTACCTGGCCGTGCAAGGCGTAACAGAGAAATATACACATCATGACAGTCCCTCTCCTGCGGGATGACGAGCTGAATGATCTGAAAATTCTTGCAGCGAATAAGCAGCGGACATCCAGTCGCGGTCGTGGCCTGTTTTTCGATGGTGGAGATCTGGCTGTGAAGAATCTAGAACCAAAGGTTCATTTGAATACATTATACACAAAGAACTAACAAAAATGATGAGGCAAAAAGGTGTCTGAGCCACAGAGACAAGTACTGGTCTTCAAATTCTGGCTAGCTCAACACCTGCAGCCCTAGTGACAAGAACTACAAGGGAACTACAGAAATCTCTAACTTTAGGTTTCAATACCAAACTCTGATTGCTACAAATACTATTTTTTTAATATTTTATTTATTACTTCTATTTTTGTGTGTGTAAGTGTAGCGCCTGCATGTACTAAGTGTACCCATTTCGTGTAATGCCCGAGGAGGTCAGAGGAAGGTGTTAAGATTCCCCTGGAACTGGAATTACGGACAGTTGTTAGCCATCATGTGGGTGCTGGGAATTGAACCCAGGTCCTCTTCAAGAGCAACTGTTAGCTACTGAGCCATCTCTCCAACCTCCCACAAATATTATTCTGAAGTAAAATATTCAGCATGTAAATTTGCACAGCTTCAGGTAAGGGAACATTTTGGTACCAAATTCTAAATGTATTTGATAGCTAAAATAAAATAAGGTCATGGGAAGTTAGTGAAATAAGCTTTTGTAATCAGCAAAAGTTAGAGATGGCTCCACTGGGAGGTGCCACCATGCTCCTTAAGTCCACATGGAATGCTCAAGCTCAATAACCACTTGTTTTTCAAACTGTGGGTGGTCAGGCAGTCTGCAAAAGGAGTATCTATTTCATTTTTAATTGTTTTCAATGGAGCGATCTTAAGTATATACATTTATAAGGTACAATGATTATTTTGATATGTGTGAGGCATATGGAATGATTAAGTCAAGCATGTGTATGTGTGTGTGTGTGTGTGTGTGTGTGTGTGTGTATTAAATCTCCTTGCTGAGATTATTTTTTAGGATGAGATATTTAAATTTTACTCAAGTTAATTTGAAATAGATGATTGACTAGAGTACCCTCCTATGCAACTGATCTCAAAACCTAGTACTCCTGTCTATCTGAAATTCTGTACTCCTTGATCAACAATTCCCCATTCCCTTCCTTATTACCTCACTGATAGCCTCTTGGAATCATCATCAATAGAAAACAAATCATTCTGGATTTTATCTCCCTGGCTTTTAAGGAAGGTATGGTCCGACCTGAAGGGGAGCTCTTCACTAAGTTCCTTTCCATGGTATAAGTGTAGTGCTAGCAACCTTCTAGGAAAAGTATAGACCTGCCCATGGAGTATAGGAAGGGAAACTCTACAATTAAAGATTTTGGTTGTGGGTTATAAAGTCATAAATGTCTAATGGTTTGACTACTTAGCAGCAAAAATATCTCACCTCTAGCTTTCCTTTTCTTATGAAATCACTCAGAAAAGTAAAGTTAATGTAATAAAATCTTAGAATGGCTACTTTGGAAGATCCTGCCAGAGGGAGAGGCCCCTGAGGCTCCACCCTTGATTGGAGGAGCTATTGGCTGTTGAAGGCTCAGGCACCATAAACATGCTGTAACTGACGTGACTGAATCTGTTCTTCATGGCTAGGACACAGAGCACCTGCATCTTCAGGCTATTTCTAGGTCTATCTTTAAAGACGTTCAAATAATTAGTGGTTAAGCTGGGTAAGAACAACAGGTAGATGTGATTCTGATTAGAAAAGGACACACCCCCCAAAATATTTTTCAAAATACAAACCACTTTCCCCATTCTGAGACAAATGAAAAACATGTAAGGCCAAAACTAAGGCCAGCATACCCATGTTTCTTTCCTTGTGTCAGGTGCATTTTCCACAAATATGACATGTGTGGCTGTCAGATACAAAGTTCCCAGGGCTGCTTTTTTAGAAGACACTCGATCTACCAAGCGGACATTTTCAACCTAGAGAAATAAGTTTGAAGAAAAAAGAAAAAAAAAAGTTAATCACAAAATACCAGGTAATTTCAAAATTATTCTAAAATTAAATCTGAGACTCCTTCCAATAATAAAAATCAAAACATGCTCCCTTAATTCAATTACAGAATATAATGTATATCACAGGACAAACACCAATTATTAAAATATGACTTTAAGTGTGTCATAAAAGATTTAAAGGCTTTTTTTCTTTCCTTGAGATTTACTTTCACTGTAACTATATAAAATTTCAAACTTAAGGCAGGCAGAATGCATATGCATTAAAGTTGTAAATTTACGTAATGACTATCTATGACTACGAACCAGAGGCTATGAAAAAAGAAAACCATATGCTTTCCTGTGTTTGTGAAGCTGTGAAGTTGTATGGTCGTTTGCTTTCATATGAACTATTATAGTAGGGACACAAATGTACATGTTGGAGAAAAATATATCGGATAAAGGTATACAAAGAAACACTAAACTTTTAAGATCTAAGTACATTTTAAAGAAAATATTTCTAGGGGTTGAAGAAATGGCTCAGCAGTTAAAAGCACTGGCTGTTCTTGCAGAGGACCCGGATTCAATTCCCAACACCTACATGACAGGTAACAACCATAAATAACTCCAGTTCTAAAGGATGCCCTCTTCTGACCTCAATGGGCATTGTTTCACATGGGTGCACTTAACATATATGCAGGCAATATTCTCATACACATAAAATAAAAATAAAATCTTTCTAATGAATGGAATTCTTACCACTTAGCTAAAATGCAAACTGTTAGGCATCTGGAAATATTTTTATCAAGAATTCATGTATTTTTATTTATTTTTTAATATTTTATTTTTTATTTTGTGTGAGTGTTCACCACCATATTACCTGTTATTTGAAACAAATATACATGTATCTTCTACAGAAATATTTTAAATGCTTCCTATTTCTTATCTGATTATAGAGCAATGTGCTCTGTTCAGTGTTTCCTTTTTATTTTCTTTTACGAAATCTCAAATTTTGGCATGTATTTCCTTTACTATCTTCTTACTGTGAATTTTTAAATACTTGCAATCTCTTAATCCTTCTCTGTAGGAAAATCTCTCTTCATCTCCTTCATTCCTAATACTATAAATTATGTGTTTACGCACTTGTGGTTAGATAGGTGATAAGCTTTCTTCAAAGTAACAAGTCTTGGATTTATCAATTTATCATTTTTCTTTTCTAATTTGTGAATTTCTGATTTTCTGCTAATAAACTTAACTTGCTTTCACTGGGCATGTTACATGGTTTTTGCCTGTTTGAGTTCTCAATTCATTAATTTTCATTATTTTTGTTTAACAACACAGGTTTTAAAATAGAATCATTTTCCTCCAAATAAATCTTTGGCTGCATTCTGAGAGTTTTATTGCAATATGTTCATTCTTACTTTCTAAAATGTCAATGCTAGAGACATGGCTCAGCAGTTAAGAGCACTAACTGCTCTTGCAGAAGGTCTGGGTTCAATTCCCAGCACCCATATGGCAGCTAACAGCCATCCTAA